CCCATGTTGTTATACACTTGACCGATGTTGTTGTAGGAAATAGCCAAATCGGGATGATTCGGAGGCAGAGCTTTTTTCGTGATTTCGAGATCTTTTTCGTAAAATTCAAGTGCTTTCGAGTAGTCACCCATGTCGTTATACACTTGACCGATGTTGTTGTAGGAAATAGCCAAATCGGGATGATTCGAAGGCAGAGCTTTTTTGTAGATTTTATGTGATTTTTCGTAAAATTCAAGTGCTTTCGAGTAGTCACCCATGTTGTTATACACTTGACCGATGTTGTTGTAGGAAATAGCCAACTCGGGATGATTCGGAGGCAGAGCTTTTTCTTTTATTTGATGTGCTTTTTCGTAAAATTCAAGTGCTTTCGAGTAGTCACCCATGTCGTTATACATTTGACCGATGTTGTTGTAGGAAATAGCCAACTCGGGATGGTTTGGAGGCAGAGCTTTTTTCTTGATTTCGAGTGAGTTTTCATAAAATGAAGCTGCTTCTTTGTATTCTCCTTGGTCTCGTTTTACAAATCCAAGCTGGTGATAGGTAAGTGCTTTATCGCTATCCTCGGAGGCCTGTTCTAGTAGTGTCATGTACAGTTCTTCGGCCTTGTTGAATTGACTAATTTTGAGCAGCAACTTACCCAGTCGATACCATCCTTCGCCGTCAACTTCTTCGCGTATATAATCAGTCAAATCGCGGAGTTGTTGGTCGTCATCTGATGTAAGTTTAAGGTCCACTTCGTATAGGGAACTTTTCTCAGCAATCTTCCGAACGTCGACAATACGGAAAACCGTGTGCATGGAGAAGAGTGTTTCCTTTTCCCCCTTGTAATAGCTCACCTCTTCGATGGAGGCAAAAGGTGTTGATGAAACTGTAGGATCTACGGTCATTTGAAAAAGAATGCCAACCATATCTTTGTTTGTTGAGGCTTGTTCAGCAAAACCGAGAGATACTTTGCGGTCTGTACTCGTCGATAAAAAATTACTGAAGGATATTAGGCCACCTTGATTATTTGTGAGCTTTTCACAATCAGCTATTGATAATCCTTGACCTCTATATACGGTAAATGACTGTTCCTTATCAAGATTGAGCTGTCTCTTGTGAAGAGCTTCAATTTGTAGGTGAACATCACGCAGGAAGAAGCCCATTCTAATGATGATATCACCATCCAATGTTCTTAATGCTTTATTGAGCATTTTGTATGCGAAACACGGACGAGTATACCACGATATGGCTATTGATGGCTGATAACTACTTTCGAATTCTTCAATATCTTCTATTTCTTGTTCATCGTCTTGATATTGTTTACGGCAATATTCTGCCAACTCTTGAATGGCTTGTTGTCCGTGATCCATATCAATGAGTGTTTCCTTGAATATTTGCGTGTACATAAAGGAAGGTTCTAGCTGATTAAGATCTTTGCTAGAACCAACTTCATTTTTACCGATGATACTGACCATCGTCTGATCTTGATCAGATTGTTTGACCGTCAGTTCCAGTGCGTTGCATATGGGCTCAATCGACGTAAAAACATCTTTGATCTTTGCCCAGTCTTTTGTCCATGCATTGTCCTGTGGTTCGTTGCCACAGAAAATGTATATGGCATTCAATTTGGACATGTCATGAATACCTGGTACCAGCTGTTGTCCCAATATATCGGAGACAATCACGAATGATGTCTTCTCGTTGTTTTCTTGGAGTTTCTTAATACATTCCTCTGCCGTAGTACACATGTTGACTTTACTGGCAACAGCTTCGAGTTGCTGCAAACTTTTCTGGTAATCTTCGTTGGTTGTATTGATGTTGGCGTCGACCCAGATCACCAAATTGTTTTTGGTCATACGTCGTCTTCGTTGTGGATTCATTTGGACCCTTGTATTGGTTTTTTGATGCTTATTTGTGAATGATATGATAGTAAATTGCTGTATGCTGAAACCTTACTTGCTTTATTTATATGTTCGATGCTGTGTTTTTTTCTTGTTTTTTTTCTACATGGTCGAATGTGGGTTTTTTCCCGTGATATTCAATAACAAACCATACTTCGTGTCAATTGAAGATACGCTTGTCAAAAAAAGTAATTAAATATCGAAAAAAAAATCAACGACGTCATTTACTTTATGATTAGTTTTTCTTCAATTTTCGTTTGTCATTCATGCGTGCAATAACTTGAATCTCGCTGCATATTAGATACGTTGTCTCGCACGTTGTATGTTCTTTTTCTCTCTCTATTAAGAGTGAAGAAAATAACAAGAACAACATTAATTTGATTATTTTCCTGATAATTATGTATATGATTGTCATGTTGATAATGTGAATAAAATAGGAAGAAGCATAATTTCAATTTTAATTAAGACATATCATTGAAAAATGATTTCTTTTTCTGTCGAAAATACTGTTGATCATTAACCAGTGACTTGAACAAAAATAATTGCTCCGATTCATCAAATGGAAAATGAATGAAACGCTTCAATGAGCACTTTACTATTACGTAGTAAAAAAATTAGTTGATAAATTCGATATTTTATTAGTTATCGTTCAGTTTTTTTCAGGAAAAATATTAAATATAAAATTGATATTTATCGTTAACAAAGATTTTATTGCATTAGTAATGGTTTCTTAGATCCAAATTCTCTATCAGGACGTTTGTTTTTTTCTAGCAATTTAACTTCACTGTCCCTCCAATTATTATATGTTTACATAAAAACACTTTTGAAAATTTTCGTTATTTATATAATACCATGATTTATTGTTCAATACTCAGTTAGTTAGTAATCCTGACAAGAAAGAAGAATTTTCATATACAATTTTTTCATTTTATTCTATTTTATTTTATTTTGAGACGTTTAGTTAATTATGTGCTTATCAATTGTGAATTTTTTCTATTGCATTCTCACACATTATATGCTAATGTCCTCTTTTCGGTGTTTAATATAGTTTCTTGCTTTTCTCTTGATCGCTTCCTCGTCTATTATTTCATGTGTTCATCTTCATTGAATAAATTGAGCGTACATTCATTAAAAAAAAACTCAAGAAATTAAAATATTCATCTGAATAACGGGGAATCACATATATCTATTCTTTTATAAAAAGAAAAAGATCAAAATGATGCAATTACTGATAAAGTAGTATCTATTCAATGAGCAAACTTACCTGTTGTTGGATGCAAAATTTTGTGTTGATGGTTAGATTTACTTACTTATAAAATTTATATATGAATTCACATCTAATTCTATCTAGAAAATTACACAAATTTCAAATTCAGTTTAATATTCAGAATAATACTAGAGTACATTTTCACCTATATTTCAATAGAATAATCATTACTTGAATAAAACTTGAATTAAAAGAAATTTAGCTTTCTTTTGGCTTTTACGACCATAAGTGAATATGAAAATTCCATTTATATTCGAACTCATGTCAGAGAAGTACTACTAAATTCATAGGTTTTTTTTCATTGAGATTATATGAAATATGTATAATGATAAAATTGTTTTCTTACAGTATATTAACTGCTATTCCTTCATTAATTTCTAGGATCCATAAATTAAGTCGATATTTAAAATATGTTTGCATGAATGCAACATTAACACAGTTTCAAAGTACGTCACAGTGATGGAGGGCAAACATCTAAATTCGCTTACAAATGACAAATAATGAAAAGAATTGCTAGAATTTCTGAAAAAAAATCGGTAGAGATATATGGAAAGTATGACTTTCTTTTAACTCTAAAGTAATAAAAAAAAAGTACAAGGTATTTTCTATTCTGGATGTCATCGATGTTTTTCTTCTGGTCGTGTCTGTATACTGAGGCAAAGCGTGATGATAAAATATGTAAATAAAGAACTACTGAATAAACGCAATAATATATTTTTTTTCTTTCTTGCTGTCTTCCTAGGTGATGGTATATAATGAAGAGCTTATAACTAGTATTTTTCTAAATTTCTCTATTATGTTGACATATTTGAATAAATAAAAATCTATTAAAAGCAATCGAAAACTGTTTATTAAATCTAATTTCGTTCCATTTTTTTCCCATAGTCATTGATTCACGAACATCGAATGTCACGAGAATCTTTAGACTAAATATGATTAAGATCATATCAAAGAGATAATCAAAATCAAACGGATTTGCAAGAGTGAGAATCAGCCGTAGGCATTTTACACTCATTTTGTTTGACAAGATCATTGAAAAATTTTTCTTGGTGTAAACTAACTTTATTCCACAATATTTTTAGCTTTAAAAACGTTTACACTGAACTATTGAAGAGCATGATAGTGTAGAATAGACTGTTAAACAATGGGAGAGTGGTATTTGAATTGATGTTTGCATCTACTTGATAAAATCGAGTATTATACAAAAACCAACAAAAAAGAATGATGGATGGCAGGGTGTTCATCTATTTCGATAAAAAGAAAAAAAACCGATACAATGTTAAATTGAGATTTTGTGGCTAAAATATTCGTCACAATTGATCATGGTTACAAATATAGAGCATCCACATATGAAATATATTACTTTCTTCGAAGATAATAAATCAAAATACTAGATGATGCTATGACTTAACATTTAGATAGGTAGAGAAAAGACACAAGTTGTTTGCCGATATGAATTACTTCATTAGAACTTTTCTGACAACTTGGAAGACAAAACTCAGCATACTGGACATTACTAAAAGGATTTCTTCTGAGTTCATTGGATGCCTAAAGAGAAAACGAAAAAAAAATCCTACTAATCTAATTCATTATATCAAAGTCAGTCTATTATTATACGACGAAAAGATAGTTTAATAAAAATATGTCTATAGAACAATTGTTTAATAAGTTTTTTTTGTTTTATTTCATCAATAATCATTTGACATTGGTGGATATAGAAAGACGAGGTACTAAGTGGAGACATTTTCCTTTTTCATCTTTAATATAATCATACAGAATCATTTGAGTTATTTAAGTCGGTGGACTGTAGGAATTTCAGCCTTTGCTTTTCATTCGCTTAGTTGCCGTACAAATTCTTCTTGTTCTTCTTCTCAATGTATGAGTCAAGATTCAAGCCAAACACGTGTTTTCAGCTTCTGAGTATCATTTTCAGTTGAAAAAAAGCTTGATGAGATCATGAGAATGTGCCGAGTGCACATTTGAAATCCATTTTCAGAAATTCGACAGTGTTAAGAAGATACAAAAATGTCAAAAATGAAAATTAACAACTGATACTTTTCTAAGTCATCTGCTTCTTTAGTGTGTTTTCATAAGTGATACCGTTCATGAGTCGAATCATAGCTGAAATAAACTATTCACCTCAATTCAATAGATGAGGTAACCAGTAGACTTCTTCGAAACGAACGTCCTGTCTGTTGTGAATTCATATTCCATCTAATGCACAGCACTAAATGGTATTCATTGT